TCTTCTTCCCTCCCCTTTTTTTTTTTTTTTTTTTTGTGGGAAAAACATGTTCATGCATTCAGTTTCGCTCCAAATCTTCTGCTTTCTTTCACTAGTGGTAGCACTACCGTCAAATGTGGTTGGAGCAGCCACCACTAAACCTAGCTGCCAAAGCAGATGTGGAAACATAGAAATTCCATGCCCGTTTGTTTGAGGCTCGGACTAGTGATCTATGATATGTTCCCAAAATTTGGCTAAAGTCGCATTACTGGAAATGCAACTCTTTTAATTGTAGCATTTTTTACAGAATGGCGGCACGTGTCCTTATTTTATGCTTCATTTGGCTTATTTGATGTATTAGATATACAGTGCCTTTTCGCTTGGCATTTTCAGCTTTTCCTCTTCTTATGATGGTTTGAGTTTGAGAGAAAAATCGTCTTCTCTGTTGAAGGCTAGGGTTTTGATTTGTGGTTCTCATCTGCTTCCTAAAATTATACACTGCAAGTGTAGGGTCACGTTCAAATAATAAAGTAGACCTTTGGAGTTTGGGTTGTCGATCCCTCGAGGAATGTTTACGTTCGATTACAAAACTTTAATTAATTTAATTTAAAAAATAAAAACAAACACACAATAAATATTTGATTTTGGAAAATAATTAAAATTCTACAAAATAAGAAAATATAAAAATTTTGAAAATTTCGGAAGCAAACATGGTTGAGATTCATGGTTTTGCTTAACCGTTGCCTAATTAATTTCTCAACAAGCCAATTAACAAATTACTCATTTACGATGTTAGAACTGATTTTCTAATTTTAGCCAATTACCTCTTTCGAGCGAAATTAATCATAATTAATTGGTTTAACATACTATATTTCTATATCGGTTAAAACCAAAAAATTGCATTAAATATTTGTGAAAATAATTCAATGAACCATCTAGTGTTAATGATATATCTCTATCCTTTACACAAACCTAAAATTTCTATTATTTGATTTAAAATGCACAATTTTCTCTCAAATAATATACAAATCACTAAACATAATCATTCATTGGCCACATAAATGAAAATACTAAAATAACAATAGTAAAAACACACAAAAATAAGTAAATTAACATTAAAGAGCAAATATTAAAATTAATTAAAAGCTAAGTTAAGTTAATACCATAAATTCCAATACAAATATTTAACCCATCTTAAATATATGATAAAAAGGAGAATATTTTACATAATACATTACAAATAGAAGATAATAATGAAGAAAATACAAAGTTCAAGACACAACCCCTTTTGGTTAGATTTGTGAAGATGATGGCCAACTCTTGATTTCTCCAAAATTTCTCCAACTCCTTGATTAATTCCTCTTTGTGCTCTATGGTTTCCCCCAAAATACCAAAAAAAATAAAAGGAAGAAAAAGGGAAGAAGAAAGAAAGAAAGAAAAGAAATTAAAAAGAAAGAAAAATAAAATAAATAAATAAATAAATAAAGAAGCTGAAACCGAGCCGGCCGGAAAGAAGTAGAATGAATTCCCAGCAGGAAGCCCATTTTCAAATATAAAACCCTAAAAAAATTGCACCTCAAGTCCCCTGAGTTTTGGAAACTAACAAAATGGTCCCCATGCTTTTTTTTTAAAAAAATAAAAAAAGGCGCCTAGTTTCTGTTCCAGCAGCCAAAAAATTAAGAATTTTGGCATTATTTGCAACTTAATCCCTAAGATAGTTGCACGCCAGGTCATTCAACTTTGATTTTGTACAATTTGGTCTTCAAATTTTGACTTTCATTTCAATTTTGCCGCCCACGAATTGCATCCCAAATCCTCCACTTTCTGGCCTTGTACATTTTGGTCCAACTTCATAATTTTGCACAATTTTTGTCCATTTTCACTCCCTTTTGCTTTGTTCTCTTTCCTTGGTTGATTTTTAGCCTACAAAAGTTAATGTTACCTAATTGTAAGTAGAATTTCACTCATTTCATCAATAATAATCATATTTAGATATTAAATAAGTGTGTAGAAACACACTTATCATCATCTTTCTTAAAAACTCATTCGAGATTGAGATCTAGTTTTAGTCTCAGATATCTGTAATATTCTGAGTGATGACTATAAGAATGAGAGTTTTTTTGCAGTTATAATTTCCTAGGCGTGTTGAAATTTCTTGAGTGATTCTTCAGTTATCTGAAGTTTATAGTTGAAAAGCTAAGCGTCTTGTACTTTTCTCGTGTTGGAAGAACTAATCTATAATCTTTTGCCATTTTTAGGCATTTAGTGCAATCGAGCATACATCCAATTTATTGGATGCTCAACGGAGGATGTAGACATTAGATCTAGTCGCCGAACCTTCGGAGCTTAGGCTGAAAAAAATCGCTTATGTTCAACCTTTCAATGTTCTGCAAGTTTACTTTCGTTGTTTGCAATTACTTGAAATCTTGTTTTAATATCGTGTGATCTGGGCTTTTTTAGTGGTATCAGAGCCTGAATGAAGAATAAGATACCTGGTTCTTTGCTGAAAGAG